AACGAAGATGTACTGAAAACGATACTGACTTTTTAATTGAAGAAAACGATGTGAATTTTAAAACAGAGCTTTTAAAACAATACAGTGTTGAGATGCTCCACCAAAGCAGAATTAAGAATAAGCTAGAAAACTCAAAAGATAAAAGTCCCGAATAAATGTACAATCATTTAAAAGAGGCTGTTTTTGAAGCAGTTAAGGAAGTTCTAGGAGTGGAGCAAGAAAAAAGCAAGTTTGTAGAGAAATTTAGCGAGAAATTAGAAAGCATGATTAAGGAAAAGAAAAAATATATTTGACATGGATTTCAAATAGGAATGACGACACACGAAAGGAATATGTAGAAAAGAGAAAAGAAGTTAAAGAATTAGTAAAAATCGAAAAAAATTAACACTGGGAAAGATTATGTAGGGATATAGATAGTACATTGGGATATAACAGATCAACTGAAGCATGGAAAACAATTAAAAATATGAGGAAAAACTGTAACAGTAGCAAAGTACAAATAATAACTCATACAAAGTGGATTGACTACTACGAAACATTATTGCAAGAATAGAGTCGAATACCAACAAGATTTGGAATGCACACATTGGCAAGAATGGGAACCTGAAATTAGTCGGCTTGATGTAAAGAGGGCTTTGGCGAGAGCCAAAAACCGAGATGTAAAACACACTGAGATTAAGTAGGCCTACACCTTCTACAACAGTAGCAAAACTTCGGAGTATCGTATCGGAGTTCGGTGACGCGATGCCCGATACGTGCTGCGTCAAGCGGAGTTCACTGTGTAAGTGTGAACATGATACGATGAAAGCGCGCTATGAAAACTCAGAAGCGACGTCACATTGTACTCAATGGTCCTTATGGAACGAGGCCTGAGCAAGGTGTTGTTTCGAAAACGTGAACAGCAACGTAGCCACATCGGTTTGTCTATGTAATACTGGCATGGAAATATAAAAAGAGAGAAAAAAGTTAGGCTATTAATGTGATAGTAATAACTAAGCATATATTATATTTTGTTCAATTTTTTGGGTGTTAGGTGAACCTGTGGACCTTATAAAGAACCATTCCTGGTGAAATGGTTATGGAGGCATAACCGTTTGTTTAACGCCGTTGTAGAATATGACCATTAGATTTTCGCAACTCTGGAAAATAATACTTGATTCTCCATTATCGCTAAAATATGAAACTGAGCCCACTTGTACAATTTTCACTCTATTCATTTGAACAAATATTAACTTTCCATTTATTAATACACAATGGGAAAATTCCAGCAAAATACAATTCCAACCTGTGGTAGTTCGGATTCGAAGAATGCTGGTGCCTCAGAGGTTCTAAAAATGGCCCTGTTTTCTTAGAACGAACATTCAGACATCACAATAATTTTGATGAAATGCTATACACTGCAAATTATTTCTACAATGCTCACACCTACACGCAGGAGAAAATAGAAAACTATGCTCGGTTATGAACATGATGACTACAAATGATACAAAATACAATTTTCGCATACCGTTGTAACCGCATTTCCGTATACTGTTTTTGTCACTAGTTTCATCTGTAGAGGAAAGGTTTCAATTGCTTAAAGAGAAAAATGATGCGTTTAATTTTGAATATGACTTCAACAAACTAGCAGAAATTAGTAAGTCAGATACATTTAAAAATGTACGTCCGAAATAATACAATTCTGTGTTTGTTTTTACTTTTTGAGTGTTTATGGCCATATCAGACAATCTGTTAATGTTGGAACATTCGAACATCTTAGCGCACTACTTCTGAGAACGTCAGATGGAGCCTGTGTTCTCGGCTGTAGCGGTTCACAGTTTGACGCTGTATAAGAGGTGCCAATGACCGTGACATCATCTACTGGCATTTGATGCGGCGGTTAAGAATGTGTTTCCGAATTGGGATGCATGCCCAGTCAACATATCTCTGAATCCTATTCTGCTTCCCCTGAAAGTTCTTCACACAACCTGTAGAATTCCTTGAATTCAACGAATTTCTCGCTGTGTTCGTCTGCTTCCACTACTTTCTTAATGTTATTGAACTTTGATACTCTTTCTTCTCCAACATTGCAGATTTATTCAAATGTCAATGATTTGTTCTGTGTGTTGTGGTTACATTTTCATTATCCACATTTGATGCGATGTCATTGTACATCCACCCTAGACATTTAGTGAAATCAATACTCTCAGGGCTCCACGGCACAAGGATACAAGCTCTAAAACCATATTGCAAATTTTCTAGCTTTATTGCGCGCACTACCTTCTCCAACACCGGATCCGGAAGTCTTTTCTAACGAGAGCGACAAAAGATGTCATCGGTGCCATGTTAGCACTTCTTTCTTCTATACACTCTTCATTGATTGAAATACAGTGAAATCTGCTGGTAGGAGAATTCTTGTGGCGTTCCAATAGTGCCATTAAAATTATTTGTAATTCAGAATAGAGTTCACTCGTCTCAAAAGTAAAGTGACTGTTGTGAGCATCAACAAAAAGAAGAGAGTAAAGAACAGAACAGTCCCATCCAAAAGTTTGCAAACTGAGAGCACTTGAACGATGGGACGAAGTCTCATTACCTCAGAAACATGCACAACACACTTCATTGTTCACTGTGAGAACTTTCTCTTCAGAGCGTCTTCATACCTCAAAATCTGTGTAATTTAATAGTCTGCAATGTATTTAATAAATTTTTTGAGCCATTTTAGGGCATTTTATAAACATTTTAATAGCATTTAACTGATAATTTTTGGCGATGTTTTAGGTCATCAAAATACATCCTCTAGTAATAACATTTAATCCCAGAACGATATTTGAGACAGTAATGGGCATGTTCAGATTTCAGTGATGGAAACAGTGCCCATTACTGTTCAAAATTGTTCTAAATATATATCTCAGCTAAACGAGGTAAATAAGGTTCGAAAATTCAATATTAACATTACAGCAATGCATAAAAAAATAAGTTCCTCAAATTACAGTGATGGGCACTCTATATTCATCATTGTCCAGCACGTCAAAAATATGTACAGTTGTGGGCACTACCTATTTTTGCTAATGGTCTGCTCTGAGGTGAAAATACATATGAAAACGTAAATTATAAACCTGACTACACTACGCATTGAGCGGATTGCAAATAAAATCAGACGAATTGTCTTAAGTCCTTAGTAACTTGATACACCTCCGCTAACGAATCCACAACGTTTCGATGCACAGACGACAGGTGGAGCACACCACTACCTATTGAAATGTACCTTTACTAATTGCGGGGTCACATTGAATTCATATTCCGAGGTTGCAAACTTAAAGACACACACACGTCACAGAGATTACATGCAGAGGGCCACTCGCTGAAAATCTTATTATTACCCCCTTACAGTTGCTGTGTCCATAACTATACTAGTGCCCACGATTGTATCGGTTACCCTATGTCGGGATGAGATTATGTATTTCATCTGTTGCATCAATAAACCCAACTCGAGTAGGTTTTTCACAGAGGTTCCCTAATCACTTGAGCAAATGCTGAGATGTTTTGCCCTTTTTTGCTTTTGGATATAAATTAGTTTCCTAAGCTTGCGATATGCTAAAATCTTCTTTTGTTGGTTGTGGTAGAATTAGATCCGGGAAGTGTGGGAAGCTATTTTGTTAGCAAAGCAATAAAATAAAATCTATAACTCGTTTACTGATGAAAATAAGTATCCTTCAGGTATTACTTCAGGAGCGAAAATTTACAGTTTTCAAATGTTTCTAGCCACACTTTGTTCGTATTTTCATTTGTTATTCAACTACGAAAATCGCTTACGAAAATCTGAGAAGATTATACTTTTTCCCCGTGCATCACGCAGTGTTTTTAGAAAATAAATCGAATCAAATATTTTCAGATGAAAAATACTTACGAAAACTGTAAACGTGATTTAAATTGTATTATGTGTGAAATGTATTAAAGAAGTTCGTATTCATCATTACCTACTTTGCGTACCAGAAGGAATCGATACTGATTTCAACTCAAGAGCAATTGACGTATGCTGCAAAATAGAGCTTCGAATGGATTTCATTTTCGTTCAGTAAGTTAACAATCCCATTTAAATTTGTACGTCAAACATGTCTAATTGCAAGCGCAGAATGCCCACTTCAGTGACAGCTGCCTCTGGTCGGAACGTTAAGGATACGTTACACCTGAGCGTCGTCCAAACCTAGTTTTCAAATGCTTAAGTAATAGGGCGAAGCATGGAAAATTGAACGACATTGGTCGGAATCTTGGCTCGCTCCAAACATTTCTTCAACACTTGACGTAGCTTATGAAATTTAAAACAAAGACACGCTTTTTTCTTGAATCATTTGGGAGTTTTTTTCATGAGAAAGATCAAATGAGCGAGATGAACCCTTACAATTAAAGCGAGAAAGCATGTGCAGTTTCAGCTCAACATATTTCAAATCAGAAACCGCAAATTAAATTTGTGAGGGAAACGCTATATCTTCATTTACGCAATGTATCAAGGAAAACTTTAATCACGTGATGGAGGTGGGGGTATTGACACAGATGCTGATTACAGCGGTTGTTAAGACACATTAAGGTTTTATAATCATACAATCCAAAGTTAACTACTGCATTAGTACCATTATTATGAATGACATAATGTACATGGTTTAACATACAGTGTAAATCCTGGCCCTTGTAAGTCGCGTTTCCGCATGAATTCATTTTTAGAATAACTTTTACGAGCAAAATTTTTACCCATATCCAACTAGTATCAATTTCCATTTATTTTATTACCGTGTCAGAATAAGGAATTTCGAACACACTGCTTCCACGCTTCCATACGTGCAAATGGTAGATTCAAAGGAGTACGTCACAATGAGAATCGCAGAAGCCAAGTGGCATGAACATGAGTATATTTTGGGCATCGGCTAGCACATCAATGGGTTTTCAAAACGAACAAAGACCTGAAATGATGAGTTGAAACACGCTACAAGCGTCATAATAGTCATGCATGTACAATTAGACCATACCTTGGCAGTGATATAAAACAAATTGTTTAGAACCATTTCCGTTGCTTCTGCAGATCCCCAACCCTCACGGCGTGTTCCACCTCTGCCAAGTTCGGCAGCGTAATACTGTAACGAAAAACACACACTATTTACCGTTCAATGTCCATTACAAATAAAAACATGTTTTATAAAAACAAACCCGAATTGTCTAGCAGTATTAGGCACCCCTTTGAAAGGAAATTTTAAAACAAAAAAAATATTTCATTACAAGAGTGATCACACAGAATAAATAAATCCCATACATTCTAAATGCTTTGCTTATTAAAATTACAATTGTGCACTCGTCTACTTAAACTAAACATCTGTTCGTGAATTGTGTACTGAACACTTGAAAAGGTACCAAGAAACAGAAGAAACCACAACTTAGGTACTACATATTTTTGAGTTAAAAAAATATCATCGTATTTACTACATTCAATTCATGAAATATAACAATTTATCTTCAAACTAAAAATAGCGCAATCAGATAATTAACACATATTGTAGCAAGTAAAGCTCGAACAACATGTACTTTCTCGCATTATTTGTATTTTCGAAAATTCAGAGAGTTCAACAAAAATGAGGCAATGTGTCCTTTTTTGAGATAAATTCGCTATCTTGAAAAAAAATTAAAAGAAAAAATTGGAGGCCTTTTTGAGATTTTTTAAAAATACTGCACGAACTTCAAGTAGAAATTAGGCAAAAATTCTTTCTTCAAAACATTTTTTTTTTAATCTTAAAAATTGGAGAAAACTTTCTTGAAAAAACTGTATACGACCTTTTTGAAAGACCAGGTTTCATTTAAGACAAATATATCCATCTTCGATATTGTAATTTTCCCATGTATTTTTTTATTGCAATTTTCGAAAACAGAGAGTTCGCCGAAAAGGCGACCAGCTACATTTTTGTACCATCCTTTTTGACACATACAACAAGAAACCTTACAATGGTATTTTAAAACTATTTACGAACACACTGAAATATTTCAACGAATACAACTGACCTGGAAATACGAGAGAGGGTTTGCTGGTGGAACATTTGGATCAACAAGTTCCATATTGTGCAGCCAAGGTAAGATATATTGCAGTAGCAATTGTCGGACTTCAGGCCGAGCAGTCTGAAAGCGATGTGTAATCTCTGCAAAAAACGTAATAAATGAAAGAATTAGTAATTCTTGCAAGTTATACGACGTAATACCAACAGGACGACTAGGCTTCAATTCTAGTTGAGGTACGAGAGTAATAAATAGGAAACGGATTTCTATAATTTTGTGTATTTTTTTCGATGTTTCAGTGCATAGCTAAGTGAAATTTCTAGACATTTGGTTAGAATATGATGCTATATAGATTAATATGCTAGTGCATAATTGCCCGATTTTTCCTGTTGGCGCATATTCGTGTAATTATAGGCTCATATTTCGTTAAAATAGACTTATCTCTAGAACGTTTCATATGTTCACAGAATCTATTTATTTGTGAGCGACAGAGATTGTCACGTTTTTTTGCTATCTATAGATCATAAAATACTTGTGCAAATGTAGGATATTTCTTTATAACATATTTTTTAAACCAGACCTAAGAAATATAAGAAGACATACAATGTACTTCACTGAGGAGAATATTTGCTTCAATTATTTGTCTCGCGAAGGAGGGTGGATTATATTATGTTTGCAGAAAAATATCTCTTTTCATTCCAAGCTTCTTCAATAAAGAATTTTATCAAGAAAGATTTATGGAAGAAATTAAATATTGTTAATTTTAATTGCATATTACAGTACAATTTCAGAATTTTTAGTTCATAATGCATATTTGTAAAAGCATATTTCAAGATTTATTTGGGTCATAAAAATCCTCTCCTTCGTACTGAAACTCTGGAGCTTCACGTTCAAATTATTATATTCATGAAGGCCAGTAGCAGAATAATTTAATGAAATCATGATATTAGTAATGGTATTGATTGTATTTTTATGTCTATATTAAAATAGGTTCACTGGTTTATAGACAATCACCCATTATACAGGTATTATCTTATTAACATGGTTTTGTTTGTTTGGCTTGCAATCCGGACTATCGTCAAGTTCTTCGAAACAATGCTATCAGAGATAAACGGAAAGCTCTAACCAATAGGTTACAGTCGTTTCCCTCGCAATTGGAGTTCAGCACCCGTTCAGCGCCTATTAGTGATGCGTAAGGAAAGAAAGGAGCATCGGCTTGAAACGCAACCGCAACGCTTGGTGCCAACTTGAAGCTTGCATTTTCGTGGCGCAAATGTTCATAAAGCACAATGAATTAAAGGTGTATTTGTTTCAATAAAATGTGATTTGACTTGAGTTGTAATTTGTAATGATTAATATTCAAGCTGATTACATTTATTTATTTACTTATCGGGGTTTAAGGTTCCTTCAACTACTAACTTTAATGAGTTCCACGCCTAATGGCCAAATGGGTAAATAATACCGATGACGAAGATGAAATGGAGGAATGAGGCAATGGAAATTTGACAATAAGAAACCCTGGAAGACGAGTGGGTAAAAAGTTCTATTAAAGTACATTTAATAGAACTTTATTAGAATAGACTTTAGAATAAACATTATTACACTAATGCTTTGGGAGAAATTGAATGTTACAATAGTTACCAAGCATGGTACTTTTGTATTGTTTCCTCATTTTTTAAAGCAAATTGTGTATTGTATTTACTAAACAACACCTTTTTTTACCATTTCTGTCATCAACATAGCAATTGAAAGAGAATTTATACACTTACCAGAAAACATTGGCATCGTGAGCTCAGGATGCAATTGGGATAGCTGACGTGATAAATACATTTGGGAGCGACAGTATGACGTTGAAAGTAATAAATCTAAAGTTCCTCGTCCTTTGTCTCCACCTGTAACACATTGCAACAGAGAATTTTACAATGCTTGCGGAAGCGATGTGTTTAATGTCTAAATATGAAAAAACTAGAGTTCTCCTTTTGTTCTATACATAAATAATCCCTTGAACACTTATTACATTTGTAATTTAAACAAAAATGAATTGAATATCGATTTAACGTAACATTTATTTCTTAAAATTCAACTTTCATCACTGAGATAGAATTACTATATTATGCTTCTCTTTGCGTTGTAGTTTGTGTTTTATTTTACTTTTAATTCGTATCCAGAATACAACTCTAATTCATTATGTCATCCCCAATGTCGAAAATGACAAAAGCTCGACATTTCTAGAATACCACCATACCTTCCATATTGAATCTTTTAATTATTTCATGTACTATTTTCAATATATTAGTAGTTCTCGCATAACTTCAAGTGGATTCGAAACAAATTTCTGACAGAGGTAGTTTTTTTTTAATTTTTTATTATCACAAAACAGTACTTGAAGTATAAAGATAAGTATACTCTACACAATAATGCAAGAAACATCAAAGAAAACACCGAAAACGGCGATGTCAAGATCACTTATTGAAATGAGACCCGAACTACGACTGTTCCACCACGTTAAAGTGCACACACATGCCATTTTCAACTTTTTTTTAAAGAAATGCCTTCACTTCAAGCATTAGTTGTGTGAAAACGAGTAACATTTTCAAAATTCACAAAATTCACATTCACAAATTCACAAGATCTTAATGCAATATCTAATTTTTAGAACATAGTTTTTAGGACAAAATATTCTATCAGTACTGTATTTTGAAATATTAATTGTTTTTGCTATTCACGAAAATACAGAGAGTTCACCGAAATGGTGCCAGTCATTTTTATACACGTAATTAGGTCTATCCAAAATCAAATTTGAGGCGTTTTTTTAGGAAAGATATTTTCACAAATTGTCTATTTTTACTTATACTTTTATGCTTGTACGAAGACGCCCAAACAAATTGAACTTCTGCAATTTTCGAAAAATTAAGGATATTAACGATAATGAGACCTGCATCATTCATTAAAGTTCCTTTACGCTAAAATTTTGAAAATGTTAAGGCTTCATCTTAAATACACCCCGAAATGATATGCACCGTTTCAAATTCAATGGGCGATGACATCAGCCAGATCGATCCGGAAATATTTATAGTGGTGAAAATTTAAGTGGTGAACGACAGACACGCAAGGCGAATGGTCTGCAGCCTCAGCACCATCACACCAAATTGGCCTGCCTGCGCCGCTTCTGCTCCGCCTTCGCGTCTACACATAAGCGGCTGATGTTACCAGGGAAAGGTTCAATGCTCTATTCACTACCAAAACCGTGATTTGGCGAGGAAAGACGATTTGGCTCTCCGATAATGAGACGATGCGCCAGCCACTTGCGTTAGGCCTAACAATAATTTTTAAGAAAACGTATTACGCAATAATTGTGAAGATAATTTTCTTGTAGTGAATTTTAGAGCGTAAATGTTTAAAACTGAACTTCACATGTTTCTATGTGTTGTACAAGAAACTATTAAAGGTCATCAAAGTGTCTCCCAGATCTACGGAAATTACTAAAAGAGCGTTATTTACGGGTTTAAAGAACCAATAATACAATTTATAACAAAATAGTGAAAATAAGATTGAATTGCATGATTGATAAAATTGATTGAAAAGCAACAAAAAACTGTACGTTGAATTCTTATTTGTTGAGTATAAAAATATGTTCGAAAAGTTGGCACCGGCACCTCAGCAAAAGCCACTGAAACCATAACCATTCGCTACTATCTTGTTTGTACAAGTTTCTTTCACAATAAACTTCGTTTGTATCAAAACCACTTACATGATACAGCACATTATATTATGATAGTTTCAACTTCACACTGGCACCGCCACAATAAAAAATTGGAACTATTCAATATCGTTTGTACTGGATTGCTCCTCCAGAATTTTCGTTTGTCCAAAAAAGTAATAAAGATACAGCCCTCAGGAGGTGGTGCAAGGCAACTTAAACGCTGGCACAGCTACCACCATAAAAACAGTAACCATACTAATTCGTTTGTACTGGATTATACCACTAGACCTTTTGTAGCAAAATATTAACAAAGATACAGCCATTGTATGTCATGGTGCGAACTTCACGCTGGCACCGCAACCACCATAGAAAATTGGAACCATACTTAATTGTTTGTACCAGATATTTCCACCAGAATTTTCCTTTGTACCAAAAAATAATTAAGATAGAGCCATTTTCAAGACGCGGCAGGGGTCTCACGCAAATCCTATCAGGAGCACCCTTACCAACACCCACAAAATATTGGAACCATTCTAAGTCATTTGTACCACATGGTTTCACCAGAATTTTCATTTGAACTGAAATAGTAATTAGGGTACAACTATTTTTAACCGGCGGTGGGAGCTTCACTCTAACTCCACCACCATGCGATCGTTGGCACCTCGCATGTACCACATTGTTCCACCAGAATTCTCGTTTGTATGAAAAAAGTAATAAAGTTACATGCATTGCAATAGGGCGGTGCCAACCTCACGCTTGCACCGCCACCATCGTAAGAATTTGGAACCATACTAAATCGTTTGCACCGGATTGTACCACCAAAATCCGTTTGTACTAAAAAACAATTAAGATACCCATTTTAAAGAACCAATGGGGGACTAACGCATCCCAACAAACAATGGAACCATTCTATATCGTTTGTACCAGATAGTTCACACCACCAGAACTTTCGTTGTACCAAAACAATAATTAAGACAGCTATTATTGTAAAGTGGCGGTGCCAACTTCTGACCAACCCCGCCACCTTCGTAAAACAAATTCGAACCATTCAACGGTTTGTAACTAGTAGAAACTCCGACAGAAGCCGGATTGTTCCATCAGGATTTTAGTTTTGTATCAAAAAATTGATTTAAGCCATTATAATGTGGTGTTGCCAACTTCTAATTCAAAAATGCTTTAATGTTAGCAACACTGCTATTAGTAAAGAATAAGGTAGGAAATAATTATGACTCATTGTTTAGTATTGGGTTTACGTAATGTTGTTTTGCTGTTCCACATCAATATGTAAAAAATAATTCATCTCGAAAATGAGTCATTCCACGTAAAATCACCCACCCACAAAACATCACAATTTTTGGCGACTTGAAACATTATTTATGAGGTATCGGGTTGAAAAAAAGGTGACACGTAGGTTTTCTTTTTTTCTAATCCTACCCCTTTCTGATACATTACAAATTATTTTTTCCGAATTACGCGCGCGCTAATGTTAATTTTTTGCGGAAATACAGTTTCCTTCAGACAAATAAAATTACATTTAAATTTAACTTAAAAAGGTGTACTTTCATATGATGTAAAATAATTTTTTAAACATATTATTTAAATATTTAAAATATATTTTAATTCTTAAAATGCAACTTTTTACATTAGGTCGACACTTCAATTAATTATAAAAATACTCTTGTATTCCTACACTAATGTATATATCTGCCAAATTTTGAAGTGGGACACACATAAATAACATTTAAAAAAATAGTGTGTTTACCGGAGCACCCACCAGACTCGCTGCTCGAACTAAGGGGCGTCAATGACATGATATATCGTGACGTCCAACATGAAGCAACCGTAAGACTGGGTCTAATTGTGAAGTTATGAAGCCGAGGAAAAATGTGTACTTTCGCCAGTATTCAGATAAATTATGTTCTGGTTGTCAATAATATTTTCAAGTATACTGCCTCTCAAGCAGGTCCTAGTGTCACCCCAGGCGGCATTGTGGACATTGAAATCCCCCACAATAAGAAAAGGGGCGGAGAACTTAAATAACTTATCTTCAAGTTCCTCTTGCGACACGACTTGTGTAGGCGTCATACAGATGTTGCAAATAGTTATCGATATGGTGCGGAAGTTCACACGAACGCAAGATGTTCGAAGAGTGGTTCGTAAGTCTATTTCTTTGGACACCGGGGAGTCTGTGACAAATGTAACGACTCCGCCATGTGCCCGGAGGCCATCATCACTGTCTTGCCTATAGCAGCAAAAGCCACGAAGAGAGAGGGAATGCTCAGGAAGAAGTGTTTCCTGCTGGCAGATAACAACGGGTCTATACAGAGACATTGTCGGCTTTAATTCGACTAAACGAGTGCGAAAGCCATTCGGGTTCCACGAGAAGAGAGCCATAACTTTTAGATATTAATTAACTTTGCTTCTAAGGGGATTTTTTCTTCCCCGTTTTCGCTTATGCCTCTGTTGCTCGAAGGGGCGACTGAAGTTTCCTCCTGAGCACTGCACGACGGGCTAGGAGATCTCCCAGAGCGAGTCTCAGGAGTCGGGGTAGGTGGTCGGAGTTTAGAAGAACGATTTTTTTATGGTCGACAGCGGCCTTCATGCAGATCTGAGAAGTGGATTCTAGGTCCGACTTCGACTGTGTGGTTTTCTTCGGCAATTTGTATTTAGAGGGATTTATCTTGCAGAGGCGATGTCTCCTCAGGGAAGTCCACTGGAGACACGTGGCAACATAAATGAGCAACTGGTAGAGTAGCAGGTGAAGCTGACAACTCGCTGTCGCGCTTCCCCTCTTGGCAAGAAAAAGACTACTAGAAAAACAGCGCCCGAGATATATAAACAGCGCCCCGATACTAAGTATCGGGGTTTCGCCTCAGGAAAAGATATTTTCTCCGTCACACTGATCTTTTGGATCTCCCTCTCCCTAAATATGTAGGGCACCTGTTCGAGTTGGCCGCATGGTCTCCTTCACAGTTAACACAGTGAAGTGGTGTGTCACACGGATCCGGATCGTGCGTGGATTTACCGCACTTTGCGCAAACAGGGCTTACGGGAATGCACCGCTGTTCGGTATGTCCGAACCTTTGACACTTGAAGCAACTCTGGGGGGTTTGGCATGCACTCCTGCCCGTGGGGATTATAAAACCCAGAACTGATCCTCTCTGGGAGAGAGGGGAGATTAAACGTCTA